TGAGACTGCGGAAGCCACTTGGGAACCAAAGCAGGAGCGTGCCGGTGTAGCGCGGACCCAGCTGCGGTGTCGGCCGTGCGAAGGGTTGTCTGTGCTGTCCTCGCCTTCCAGGTGTAGGGCCGACCGAAGCATCACGAGTCGCTTCGTGTTGTCAGGGCTCAAGGGCTCCAAAACACCTACGTTGAAAACCGGTCCGAAGGAAATACTTATTAGGGGAAAGTAACAGCTTAATAAGTTACTCTGGTATTACTGAAGCCTGAAAAAAATGCAATCTTTCAGCACTATGTCACAGGGAAAACGTTCTTATCAAATTATAAGCCGGAAGGTAATGGAACTGTGGAGTCCTGAGTAATCAGGTGTACGGCATGCTTAACTTGCATGTACCGCTGTCCAGTCCACAAAACAGGTGTTTTCCTCTAGGGAAGGATGTCTGTAGGGTTGAGAACTAGAAATTGAACTGCTTCAAAAATATAAACCGATTGATGTGTCCAGTTTTAACAGAAATCCTGTTAAAAAACGAAGGTGTACACCTTGTGTCTTGATTCCATTTTGGCAGTCACCCCTGGGAAACGGTAACGACGGCTGCCATGCAGAAGTACCCAAACCCCATGAACCCCAGCGTGGTTGGAGTCGATGTCCTGGACAGACACGTAGACCCTAGTGGGAAGCTGCACAGCCACAGACTCCTCAGTACGGAATGGGGAATACCCTCCATTGTGAAATCGGTACGTATGGTAGTGCAGAGCTTGGAAAGGATGCTGGAGGGAGGGGAGGCTTGTGAACCAGGTGTTGTAATAGACGTGTATCATTTCATAACTTCAATGGCTTAAAAATACAAGCATTATTTCTGTATCGGGAAAGCTCAACAGCAGTACACATGGTGACTTCCTGATAGCCAAAAATTGCCGAGATCTTAGATTGCTTCCATCTTGAAAATGAGATCTACCTCAGTACCTTAATAGTTTTATTTTAAGCTAAACCCTAATTCTGTTGTCTCAGCGTCTGTTCAATACAATAACCGCTACTTATGCACTCGTAGGCACTAAAAAAATTGCAGTTGTTTAGCATGATGCCTATATGTTTGCCTGTCTTCTAGCTCATCGGCACGTGCAGAACGAAGACGTATGTTCAGGAGCACTCTGTTGTTGACCCAGTGAAAAAAACAATGGAGCTCAAATCCAGTAATGTAAGTAGCTGTGTTTATGCAGTTGAAATGGATTACAAAATATAATAATTCCTTGTAAATTTGAAAAGGAAAATAATCTGAAAATGACTTGAAAATTGCATTAGAACAATGCAAGCTAAAGGTTTAAGTAATGTGGTTATAGTTGACCGGCTCTCTTTTTTCAGAACGGAGCTACTAGGTTTTTGGAACTTGTCAGGACCGAAGCGTCTGAACGTACTGATGAGCAGGAGAGCAGTAGTTTGGGGGGGGAGGTGTTAAGAAAAAAGTTTTAAAAGCTGTTTGGTGTACACTGTCACCATTTCCTAATCACGTAACATTTTGCTCTTTGTACTACTCCATCTGTCTGATCCCACTGTTGAAATGTTCTTATAAATGCGGTAGTGTATATTGGTAAATGATCCAAAAACTTGAGGAAAGAGAACTAGATCAGCACATGCTGAATTTGGAGATTCCTCTGTCTTGTTCTACAACCTTAATACTTGCAGGAAAAGTATAATGTTTAAATTGGATATAAGCATTAGTTTTGAATCTGCAGTTTTGTTTACTACATTCCTTTAATGTTTTTATCAAGGGGTAATCTTGTCTTGTATTCTACAGATTTCATTTACAAACCTGGTGTCAGTAGATGAGAGGCTTGTCTATAAACCACACCCCCACGAACCAGACAAGTAAGTACCTCCTTGTTCTGAGATTGCCCTGAAGTAGCGCAGACGTTGGCTTTGAAAATTCCCATCGTTTCCCTTGAACAGAAGATGAGGTTTACATCACCTTTGTTATGGTAACTTGTCTGAAAAAGAACTAAATGGACTGTCATTTTCTCTAGTGACACTGCTTCTGCAGAGCACTACGGGGAAACTTACTGTCATGTTATGATGGAATCCAATTCAGATCAGCTTTTCAAGGAGTTGTCCCGTGTCCTATCTGTAACTGAGTTTGTACACGTCTTCAGTTACCAGCTCCTTATGTCCGATCTCTTCATCAGCCTGAGCACAGAACCTGCACTTAGAGGCCCGTTTATCTGCCTTTAGTCTATAGTTTTAGAGGTTTGGGGTTTGTTTTGTTTGTTTTTTTAAGGCAACTTTAGAGCTTGCTGAGTCTATACTCCTGGAACTAGTGATAATTCTGAAGGATCTTTCTAGGGATTCTAACATAAGAGGTTTTTTCTCTCATGACAGTCAGAAATGTTAAATCTCTGTTGTTGAAGGGGATGTCTGAATACTGTTTTCCTAGTATACCGTCACTCCAAATCTGCCGTTTCCACTCTTAACTTGCTGCTAAAGATGGAAATAGTTGAGTACCACAAAAGGACGCTTGGACTTAGTGGGGCCTCTTGGTTTTTATTTTATGAGTAGAAGCATAAAGCAGTTAAGCACTGTGGAAGCAGGTTGTGTTTATGGGGCAAGAAGTTCTGTGTTATACAGCGAAGCTGATGAGGGAATGTACTTGTTGGGGAGGAGCGAGTTTCTTTCAGCAATGTATTCTTTTTTAAACTACTCAAAATAATTCAGCTTCCTGCTCTCTGTTTCAGAACCATTTTGACACAAGAAGCAATAATATCTGTAAAAGGTGTCAGTCTCAGCAGTTACCTAGAAGGGCTAATGGCAAACACAATTTCCTCCAATGCTAATAAAGTAAGTATGACCCTTGTGTAAAATGTGTGACCACTGGCTAAATGACAAAGGGAATAAAAATCTCTATTTTACTTTTTGGCTTTGTCAACAATCTTAGGAAAGGTCCGCATAGTTCTACTGCCTTTACTGTAGAGACTGAATGCTCAGCTCGCTGAACTTCCTCTTTTTTTTCCTCTTGTGAATGGAGATAATAAATTATTGTTGGCAAAGCTCTCTGAGTCTTCACTGGAAGAACATCTCCGCTCACTTAACAGTCCGGTGCTGTCACTCTTTTGCTGCCCTCTTGATGCCATCTATTAGTTTTTGCTATTGGAAAAGGATACACATCCAGACAGATCTGAAGTAGTTACGTGGGAGTAATGAAGTGGTGTTTTAGTTGAGAGTCTGTCCTCTGGGAAGCCAAAGTTGTCTTGTGTGCAGCCTCAAGAGCGGTAAAACAATCCGGATGAAAAGTCTTTTGTGGTTCATAACGTGAGCACTGCTGACATTAGGAATTTTTTCATGAAACGTAAGGCAGTACATGTTCCTGCAGTACTCTGGTTATTGAAGTAAAAAATACCACCGAGGCGTGTATTTCTGTACCACCTCTTCCTTTTTTCAACTATTGTGTCTTCAGTCATTTTCAGTAAGACAGGGTTTAACCTATTTACTTATTTGCTAAAATTTATACACTGATAAACTTTTCTTTAACTGTAGGGCCGGGAAGCATTGGAATGGGTAATTAATAGACTGAATGCTGAAATTGAAGAGTTCACAGCTTCAGCAAGAGGAACCATGAGGAATTCAATGGCAGCAGCAGCATTTGTAGAGAAATGATAGTAAATATACCTGTATTACTAATGAGGTTTAACAATCTGAAGCTTCTCTCCAAACCTAAATACATGTATCCTTTGTTATTTAAAGGCATACCTGTGTATTAGGCATGTTTCAAATTTAATTTGGAGAAAAGCTGAATTCTTACTAATGAGGTTGATGCGCAAAGCCTAGTTAATATATTGGTTCAGCTGGACCGAATTTCGGTTACAGATGAAGAAATAATTTTCAAGTGTAGTTCCTGTATTTACATGAACACTAACTTATGTTGGTTTCAGATATGAAATAGCCTCATTTAGCGATGAGGCTGCATACGGTGGAGGAGACTGGTATGTTAGGTTAACTTCTGTGGAATTTTTGTTTTGTGTGACGTACGGACTACCTCTTTTGGGACCAAGCCCAAAATTAAGCAGAATGGTTTGTTCCAGCATTGTTCTGTTTGCTAGTTTTTTTATAGTTGTGTGACACAACTTGGTTTAATAGAAAGTTTATTACTTGATGCTTGAAATACAAAAGAACGTACAAAATATTTTTTAATAAGCTTTTTAACTTTTTTGACTGGTTGAGCTAACATGGTACTCACATTGTTTTTCAGTCAATATAGGTAAAACATACAAAGTGTCTCTTATCTACTAAGACCTAAATTCTATCCCTAAATGCGACATTAATGAGCTGGGCGTGCAGTAACTTAAAATAAAATTTTATCTTTAAACTTATAGAATAAGTATCTCCATTTCTAAAAGCCTGTTAAATAGATGGCTGCAATAAGCATAGAGCCTTAAAATCTTGCAAGCTGCTAGGCCATCTAAGAATAGTAGGTGTTCACTTCAGAATTTCAAAGAACCACTTAAAGGACTAAAAAACCTTTGTGAAGTTGGCTAAAGAGATACCTAAACATAAGAGGAAGTGATATTAAAGAATGTTAACGATACACTCATTAACTTGATCATGCTCCAAAAATAACCTGTTGCATCAACTGAATATTGTGTTGTCCTTTAATTTAAACATAGTGTTCTAAGTTCCAGGAGGTTCTTTACCTTTTGAACTAATTTGCTCACAATACAAGGCTCTTTAAATGAAAACCTCGAGAATAAAAAGTTTTCTGCAGTTTGTGTTTGTTTCTTGGTACTCGCTGTAGATTCTTGGTACTGTCACCAGTCATTAGCTGTGGGAACCTAAAGGTCAGACCTTGACATCCTTCCTTGCATAGTATACCAGTCTGCTGGTAGTCCTGTCGACTTCAGCAGAGGCTGGCTGTCCCATGAGGCTCCTTCAGTGTGAAGGAAAAACGGAAGGACACAGCCCTGGACTAGCTGATGCTTGTATTTTGGTGCCAGAGGCTTTTCCTGGAATTTTGATTCTAAGCTTACAAGTAATTTCAAGACTCTCTCTTAGCCTTTAAGATCTGTAATGTCACCTGTTCCAGCACATTTTACGTTGCATGCCATTTCTGTTATATCAGAATTGCCTATTGAATAGTGTCTGCTATATAGAGAACCAGAGCTTATTTTAAGCGGTAAACACATGGGAACACAATCTTCTCTAAGATTTGTGTAGGGGAAAAAAAACAGGGGTGTGTATGTGTATATATATATAAAAAAAAAACTTCTAAGAATTTAACTATTTTAAATATTTTTCTAAAAAGAAATAGTTTGAGACTACCTTAATAAATTGAAATCATTGAGGTTTGCCATGCTTTTACAGGAGGTTATTACAACTGAAATAGCATTTCAATTTAAAAAGTGTATGTGAAACTTCTGCAAAACTGTACCATCATTTCTGATAAAAATGCAGCGCTTGAAACTGATTTTAAATGTTTTTGTAGCCATTAGCATCACTTGGCATTTTAAAGTCGATTTTTTCTTTTCCTAATTTTTCTGCACTAAGGACTGTATAGTATGAACACACAATTTGCCCTTGCACTGAAAAAAACTTTAATTTTTGCAAGCATTGAACAACTTCTTGAAAGATCATGATTTTCTTTGTTCTACTTTATTTATATGCCTGCATTCTCATTCTGTCAGGGACTACGGCTTTCTGTATGTGGCGCTTTTTAAATAAAATTTTATCTGAGTTCTAGCTAGTTCCTGAAACTCTCTGTTTGGTTTTTTTAACTGCTAGGTGAGTAACCTAAAATGCGGAGGGTGAAGGTGAAGAAATACTCTGGAGTTAATAGCTGCTTTTATTGAAATGCATATCCTAAAATGCACATTTACAGCTGCTGTGGTCTCTTTTGCTTCTTAGCAACTGCTTTTCTGCAAATCTGACACATTAACTAGCAACCAGATTTCACAGTTCGCTAGATCCTGTGGAAGGATTTTCAGTCTACTTGGACCGAGATTTGTGTGCTACAGTTTACCTGTTAAGGAATGTGTCTCTGCACATGGAATCTAACGCTCATTGTTGTTCAGAGCAGAAGAGAACAAAATGTTTAGCTCCGTACTGTCATGTAACAGCTTGCCTGTTTACCCGCAATTCTCACAACAGGAGACCACCTAAAGAAGCTTTGCTTCACGGGGAGCAGGAGACTGCGTGTGCAGCAATTACAAAGTATGTGCTGTCCCATCACAGGAGAAGGAAGTAGATACCTGCCCTGTGCTCGGCACGCGTACGTACTCAGATGGTTTCTTCGCTAGCCGCTTCAGCAAGTCATACGTTCTCTGTGGATCAGCTTTGCAGTGCACTGCAGGGCTGTGTCGTGGCTGGCAATGCCCTGATGAATGTAGGATGCTATGGATGAATGCACCGATACTGCAGTGAGTGTGACCTGAGGTAGTGCAGAGAAGCTCTGCGTTCTGGTGGTTAGAAGGAATGAAGGTGAGTAAGAGAAAGGAGCTACAGCTGGAGGGACAAAACTAAAGGACCAGGAAGAAAGAAAAAAGGGAAGGGAGGGGACAGAAGGGGCAGAGGTGGAGGAATGTGGTGTGAACAAATTGGCGATGTGGTCTCTGGTGGATCCCTACCTGCTTCAGCTTGCCTAAATGGATTCATGTTTTACCTTATCTGCAGATTTAGGCTTTTAAATCAGTAAAACTTCAAACTCGCCCATATAACTTTGCTGAGAAATAGAACAGAAGTGAGTAAGCTTTAGATCCAAAGCTCAATGGCCTAGAGAATATTTTAAGATGGCACTGTTAAATCTTTTGTTCTCACTGCTCACCTTCTGAAGTTTTCAGTAATAAATCATTAGGTTTCCTTGCTGTTCATTGTCTTAATTATTTTGGATGACTTTCTCATGTTCCTGTGACCCTTAAGTACTCCAGCCCGACTACTAAGGATGTCTGCCAGGAGGAGGGACATGCTATAAGTCTCCAAAGCATCCTTCTAAAGCAAGTTGCATCCAGAAATGCTATTACAGTTAATTTAAAACCAGAAGTTTAAATTGCAGTAGCTGGAAGTTTGAGGTCTTGGCAAGCTTAATGCCCTTTTCCGTTGAGATTGAACACTTGCATCATCCGCTGGTTCTAATGGAAGTACGGTGCTCTTGAATTCTCAAATATTTGTATGGATGTAGCCATATGCCTATGGAAATATTCTTCTGAATGAAACTGCTTACCTGATTTGCATCTAAAAGTAAGTTGAAACAAGGAATGCGAAAATTACTTTTCCTCAGATTTGATATAAGAATTGGCCATACCGGTGGGGGATTTTGGTGCTAACTTAGTAAAGATTTTTTTTACTGTAAATTACACGCACCTTGTTCTTCACTTCTTGATTTAAACAGGCTCGGGATGGCTAAAGCAGCAGTATAATGGATTAACTTGTTTTACATTAATTGTCTAGCTTCCATGTACCCATCTGCACTATAAACTTGTTAAAGGCTTGTGTTTGTGCACCTTGCTAACTGCCTGCTATTCTGTGTTCTGCAAGGTACTGCTTTTGACAATCTAAAATGATGAAAGCTGCTACCATGGAAGAAAGCAAAATCCTACATTTACTGTGACACTGAAACAACTTGCGTCTATATGAACACTAAAATACCACTTTCTTCAGTCAGCAATAGAAATGAAGTACTTTTTAAAAGGCTTAATTTACCTGAGAAGTATTTCTTCTTGCTGACAATGGGTGTCAGCACCTGTTCAGCCATATAGCAGTTAACCGTAAATGTAAACCAGTTGTGTTGGAAAAAACAGAAAAAACTTTAACCACCATTTCCTACAACATTGCTGATCTGTCTGTTGTGGTCTATATTTGCAGTTAAACTGTGCAGTCTAGCATATTTCCAATAAATGTCACATACAGTAAAACTATGCACCCAGTGTCTAGTAACTGCAACCTTTCAAAGCCCCCGGCATTGACAGATAGTTGGTTCAAAGGAAAGATCAGCATCCTGTTGAGGTTCACGTTTATAGAAGAACTGAAGACTGCCAGTAAAGAGAGCTTGTGTGAAAGCACCGAGTCATTTTAGAACCCTTCCATTTCTCAAGGTGAAGGTCATTCTTTCACTTGCACAGGACCTGTTCATTTCTTTCTCAAATAATTTGATAGCTTTGCTTTATATGTTGCCATAAAATTGAATTATTCTAAAGGTGAGGTTACATGTTACAACTAAGCTGAACTAATTGCTTGCCTTCAGTGAAAGGAAACGATCCTGTGTCTGTCTGCCTGCCTTCTTGTTCCTGGCTGTGCTGTCCTACTTCTTCCCTTGCACTGAAGACAGTGGTCTTCACACCCTTTGTTGAGCCAAGTCAACTTGTTGAGCCAAAAAAACATGAATATGAGAAGTGATATAATCTTTATGCAGCCAGCAGCAAGGTGGGACACACTGAAAGAGGAGAAATGGAGGATCTCCTTATCTATAGGAAGCTGTTAGGTGGACTGAAATTACATTGCCTCTGCAATGTGTATTACAATAATTTCATATTGCATCTACTAGAAAGAGTATTTGATGCTGTAAACAATTTATGTTATTATAACAGAAAAAAATTACAGTTTTGTAAAACAGTAACATTGTTAAGTTAAAGTCTTCTCAGACACAGGTATCACGAGAAGTTCACACAAGATGGCTTTTTTACATTTTCTTTTTTCTCCGGAAAGGTTTGACAGTCCTTTAATCAGAGTTTAAAAACGCTGAACTAAAAAAATAGTATCAGCTAGATAATATAATATCTAGCTGAATGTATCAGCTAGAATATAATAAAATGAACAACATACGTAGTAAATATTTTCCTAATCACGTACCCAATCCTTTTTACACCAAATTAAATGAAACAATTGCCCCTGCTGTGAACCTCAGTATTCCTGGAGCCTGTTCAACTTTGTGGATACTCTGGTAAGAAATCTGTTTTATAACGTGGCAAGTAGCATCATTTGGGTGAGTGCTTGTTAATGGGGTTTTTGGGACTATGTAGATATTATTTACCTGTGAGATAACTGCTTTGGTTTATCTAGATTTAAACTCATTTACACATGGCAGCTGCAACAAAATTTAGTAGGTATGTTGTGAAATTGTGAGTAAGGAAGCATGTATCAGAACCCGTACTTGGAATTTATTTATATTTTATAGTTGTGTCATATTCTGAATGATCTAGCTGAAGTACTAGAAGCACTTTACCTTCTTAGCCTGATACTCTATACAGTTTATTTTCTCTGTTTATAATTGCCAGTTTTGAGGGACATTCAGCAAGCTAGCAATCGCCCTGCTGTTCCTGTGAAAGAATAGATAGAACCAATGGAAGCAGGGTGCTACTGCACAGTCAAGCAGGTCCTGCTTGACTAACCTGATCTCTTTCTATGACAAGGTGACCCGCTTAGTGGATGAGGGAGAGGCTGTGGATGTGGTCTACCTAGACTTCAGTAAAGCCTTTTGACACCGTTTCCCACAGCATTCTCCTTGAGAAACTGGCTGCTCATGGCTTGGACGGGTGTACTCTTCGCTGGGTAAAAAAACTGGCTGGATGGCTGGGCCCAAAGAGTTGTAGTTAATGGAGTTAAATCCAGTTGGCGGCTGGTCACGAGTGGTGTTCCCCAGGGCTCAGGTTTGGGGCCAGTTCTGTTCAATATCTTTATCAATGATCTGGACGAGGGGATTGAGTGCACCCTCAGTAAGTTTGCAGATGACACCAAGTTGGGCGGCAGTGTTGATCTGCTCGAGGGTAGGAAGGGTCTGCAGGGAGACCTGGACAGGCTGGATCAATGGGCCGAGGCCAACTGTATGAGATTCAACAAGGCCAAGTGCCGGGTCCTGCACTTTGGCCACAACAACCCCATGCAGCGCTACAGGCTTGGGGAAGAGTGGCTGGAAAGCTGCCTGGC